TTTCCTGGTGGCCCATTGCCCTGAATAGGTCCTTCCACACCCACTATCTAGACTGAAAGCATGTTATCTAGTGGGCATTACCCAGGAGTAACTATACTTGAAGTACCAATATATAGTCAGTATTTATAACTTCAGATACAAAAATGATACATGCATACAAACAGGATAATATTTGGAAAATATATTTTCAATGACACCATACATGACCCATCTTGCATAAAATGCATCCTAATGATGCCATAATCATATCATAGTAATATCACTGTGAAGAATATGTGGTACAACTTCACAACCATAGTTCAGGGAAACTTACTTTCCTTTCCCTGGGCCTTGACAACTCGCTGAGAGAAAAGCAAGGACTCCCCCAACCTTCACATGCCCCAGATTTATTCAGGGATTTTGCTCTCAGTAACACACCCTATGCTAATACAACACATTTCTCTCCACAGACAAGAGTGTTTACAGCCCTCTCTCAATACTTAGCTTAAGCAAATTTCCATTTGCATTTACTCCACAGCTCACTCTGATTTCCTTTCTGCTGAATGGGCTCTGAGTGGCTGCTCCTTCTCCCGGTCTCTGCCCCAGTTGGCCATTCTCTTATTGACCCAGTGTCATTAGAAACTGACAACAGAAAGAGAGAACACTTGTAACCTAGGCCAGCACTCATATGTGGAGGACACACAGAGTCAGGTCACCTGCTTCCTGGAGCTTCCTTCCCTATTCCCCTACAGCCTAGCCAGTGCTTGAAGTGATCAGCACTGATAAGCTACCACAGTCCCCCCAGGTCTCTCCCTATCCCCATCCCATCCCATCCCACAAATCCCATGCCTGGCCAAGATGCTCAGGTTCTCTGAATGAAGAGAAGACTGAGTACAATCAAGGTAAATAATGTTGTGACCAATGACTCACATCCAGAGATGTGGAAGGACAGACCAGGCATAACAGAGTGTCCCTCGTTGCCAGCAGGCTCCGTCCTTCGCATTCAGTCTAGGGGAGCAGGGTAATGCTCCCAGCCCATCACCAGCCAAAGGCAGGGATCCATCCTCCCCAGAACTCATTCCATACGAACGAAAAACATCTCTTTGCTCTCAGAGAGGGCTCTGACAACTCAGACACTTGATACAGACATAACCAAGGCTCCTCCCACTTCGCTGTCACCACCAGGCAGGACTCTTTGGCTCCTCAAGTCCACTGCGAAGTAGGATGTCCAGGCTGCTTAAGTCCTCTTCTTCCAGCTCCTCCTCTAGCGGGGCTGCTCCATTGCAAGCACAGCAAATAAACCAAGAGCAAGCCATCACTGCCCAAAACCTGTGCCTGCCCTCACACTCCCATCTGCACTAGAGCATACCCACTAGATTAACAGAGACACAGTCAGCAATGATGGGTTTCTTGGCTAGTCAATCTCCAACACTTTGGCACCCTGTGGCTAACATGATCCCACCCCATCTACAGGGGACTACTGATACAAGCTACCTAAATAAACCTACTAATAAATGACTGAGCAGATATCCATTAGCACCACGTTCTACAACAGGGTTTCTCAAACTGGATGTCGCAACCACTCAGGAGGTCACACGGTTATTATGGGAGGTTGCAAGTCAGGGGCAGTACCATCCTCTTCCAAGTGAGGGGGCTGAGGTTGCTACACCAGCGGTGCACCTATTTTGGAGCACATTCGAGGTTCTCTGTGAGGGTCGTGAAGAAACTTTGCCAAAGTCACATTTCACAGCAGTTTCTATCGCCCCATTGCCACTGTGGTGCTTCTGGCATCTGCGCTGCTTTCACTACTCACCATCGATCTGGCGCTTCCTCCTGGTCCCTCTTGTGGTCAACCCCCTCGTCCACAATTTGAATGCCATCATTTTGTCTCTCCCTCTAGTAGGCAGCCCTTCTCTCACTCCAGGAACTGCAGTCTCCTCTTCGTGGATTGGCCCTTCATCCAAGTCACTAAGGTCCTCCCCTTCTGGGGAATTCAAAGTCCTTCCAGACCCACTGGCTGGGGCTGGCATCTCCAATGCCCTTGTCACTTCCCAGTGGGGAACCCAAGCCTGCCCTCAAGACTGGGTTCCAGCCCAGGACCCTGTAACAAGCAGCCAAAATTTCTGCATGGTCCTACCCCTCGCTACTGTTTCCCTGGGCTTCTTCCTAATTATCTGGCTTCCCCCTTTCTGGGTTTGCCAGCTTCCCAACTTCCTCCACTCAGGGAGTGACTTAAACCTACTTCCCTGCCTTCCTCCAAGAGCTTCTCTCTGCTTTCAGCTCCTGGGTTTTACAGAAGCCCCTCCAGTCCTGTTCCTGATTAGGTGAGCCTGCTTCCAATTAACCCCTGTGCATTGGCTCCTCCTCCAGGTGTAGCCTGTAGAATTAATTGGCCTACTGCCCACCTTAATCCCTCCCACTACTTTTTGGGATGGGCAACCATCACAGGGGCACTAAGTCTGTTGTGAAACATGATATTTGTTAATATCACATTTCACAGACTCCCAGCTACCTATGAAGTCTGCTGTGAAAAGTGATACTTGTATATTTGTTAATATCACTTTTCACAACAGACATTCTAGGGCCCCATTGCCATCTGTATTTCTGTGCTATTGCTGGCCTTCAGAGCTGGGAGACTGTGAAGGTGTTTGTTAATATCACTTTTCACAGCGTCCCAGCTCACTAGCAAGTCTTCTGTGAAGCAACATAGAAGTAATGGTGGCAATACTGCGCTAAATCTGCTGTGCAAAGTGATATTAACAACGTTTCTTCGCAAACCCTCAGTATTAAACAATAAACTATTTTAAAAAATAATTTTTCTGCTTATAACAATAATTTGATAAAAATTTGTTTTAGTGTTAATTTAAAAGTGGTGAGAAAAAGTAAATTAACTTAAACAATATTATACATTTAGTATTTAAAATAGTGTTAAATATTTTTCATTTCTCACATGCTTGCTGTGTGAAAGGATCGCCAATGCAAAAAGTATGAGAATCCCTGCTGTAATCACCCACCTGGATCTAAGCTTCTTCTGGGGAGGACATATTACACCCTGTCCTGGGTATTAACTTCCCCATCCTACAAGCAGCTATCTTATCCTGCCCCCTGAACACGTAGGTAGTTAAGAACCTTTTCTTGTTTTAGAGTAGCAGCTGTGTTAGTCCGTATTCGCAAAAAGAAAAGGAGTACTTGTGGCACCTTAGAGACTAACAAATTAAAAAAAAACCTTTTCTTGGTAACCCAGTCCCACCTAACATAGGAAAGACTAGGAGGGCTAGACTCAAAGCTCTAACTGGACACTTATTTGAGGTTGCTCTGCTCACATTTGGACCACTGTTGCCTGGAGCCATTTATGTCAAACAGGGTGGGCTTGTCGGTCTCCATCTTTCGAGTCTTGGCTCAGATTCTCCTATGGCAGGAAACCAACCACAAATGGAGCGTTGGTGGCAGAGACAGCAATGGGACAGGCTCATACTCTTGCTTCTCTCATGTGAACTGTCCCCCGCAGCCCCCAACAATACTCCCCCATGTAGTCATAGCTACAATGAAGGGGCAGCTGGATGCTCCTGTACTGTGATAAACAGCATCCAAAACAGTTACCATTCACAGGAGACTATTGCCCCTCTCCCTTCTCTTTATCCCCAGAGAGGACTCACGTTCTTTGAAGGAAACCAAGACCAAAGACAGAGAAGGAAAAAAAAAATGGTGAATAGTGACTCAAACCCAACAACTTGTATGAGGAGACGGATGAGGACTGAGCATCTTTATTTACATTCTTCTGGGAACCGGTTTTCCTCTGGAGAAGACATATGCCCTGTTTCAAATGTGGGGCCTGCAAAGTTTGGTGACAACAATATTTTAAAAACAATTCTGTTATGCAGAGTAAATGACAAGATAGTAAACACAGCACTGACATGAGCTTCAGTCATCTTCCCAAATAAAAATGTTTAACCATGTCTTAAAAGAAAAAAATTCTTTAGTTACTAATTTTTTAGCCAAGGTTTTTAATTCAAAGACATATTAAGTCCCACACTGGCTGCCAATTAAAGTTAGGGTAATTATTATTTGAAAATTATAAATACTAAAGAGCTTTGGTTATTGCTTGAAAACAAGTTCAATCTGAAGGACAGTTTACAAAGTTGCTTGTCCTGGTGCAGTTAGAAACATCCAATGCTAATTAAGTTACTTGAAAACTTGTTAACGCTGCACAGACGTTCCGTGATTCCAAAGGACGCAAACAGAAAGGGAAAAATCCGTCCTTGCCCTTCTCAGACCGTCCCAACGGTTGGGCCCTGCTCCTACAACACTGGTGAACCAGCCGTGCCACACACACGATAGTTACCGGGAGGGGGAATCTGGGAGAGACTTTGGGCCCCTGCCTGGAGGCTGCAGAGCCCGCCCCCTCGGATTGGGACGGCGGGAGCTCACCAGAGCGGCGCTGCTCAGGAGCAAACTTCCGCGCAGGCGCAGCACTCTCCTTGCGGCCGATGGCAAATCAGCCTGTACAAGCCACTTCATTTTATTGACCTCCAAAGGGCGGTGGCGCCAGCCCAAATAGGTATGTCGGGGCGCTGAGGGAGGCCCTTTTCTTGTTAAATGTCGGTTTAGTTCGCACTGGGGCACACCCCCAGTCTCAGGACCTTCCTTCAATTGCCACCGATTACTTCTGACCTTCTTGTAATGGCGGTTGTGCAGCGCAGTACTTTCCCTATCCCCGACCGTCCCATTATGGCGGTTCCTCAGGAGCGCTTTTCTGCTTATTCCACGACCTTCGGTCAGTGGCTGCTCAGTGCGCGCGCGCGCGCATTGCAGGGTAACCTGGACCTTCTGCTTATGGTAGAAATGTCTCTACGGGGCATTTGAAATTATGGAAAGCGCCCTTTTTGCGCCCGCGAAAAGCGCTGACTAACCGCTTATGACCTCCTATGGCCGTGCAGTCTGCGCAGGAATATGACGTCCACGGATTGCGATTTTTTTTGCTAGCAGTGGCTCAGTTAGTGTCGTCACGGCTGGTAGGTGAGGTCAGCACAGGGGCCGCCATTTTGGGTGGCGGGGCTGGGATCGGAGTGGGGCCCTTGGGTTGTTGTGGCCCGCAGGGGGAGTTAGTGCGGCTCACGGCGCAGCGGCCCCCATGGCCGGGCAGTTCGACTCTGAGGACCGGGCGAGCTGGTATTGGGGGCGGCTGAGCAGGGCCGAGGCTGTGTCGCTACTGCAGGGGCAGCGCCACGGGACCTTCCTCGTGAGGGACTCGGGCACCATCCCCGGGGACTTCGTGCTGTCGGTGTCTGAGAGCTCCCGGGTCTCGCACTACATCGTGAACAGCCTGGGGCCGGCGGGAGGCCGAAGACCTGGCGGCGAGGGCCCCGGGGCCCCAGGTGAGTGCGCGGAGCCGGGCCGGGCTAGGGAGAGTGGCTGCTTTGATTGTCTGACCCGGGGGTTGTTGCTGCACCCTGGCCCTGTATCCGACTTTGTTTTGCGTTGGGGAAAGCGCGGCCTCAGTTTCTCCCGAAACAGCGGGCAGGCTGCGGGCACCAGCCAAAGAGCCACATTGCCCCTGCCCCCGCCCACTCCAGACTGGCGTTCAGTCTCCTGAGGCCCGGCTGTGCCGTTCGTGTTTGTCTTTTGGTTCCGCACTGGGAACCGCTAATTTTGGGGTCCCTAGTTACTGGGGAGCGGCTCCAGGACTCCCATCCCCCGCCACATGACCTGCAGTATTCCTAGCTTTAAAATCGGGTTGGACGTTATTTGGAGGACTAAAATAGTGCATGTATGGACACTGACCAAGATGGGGGCGTCTGGACTTCCATCCTGAAGTCATTACTCAGATTTCCCATCACTGTATATAAGCCAGGTATGCAAAAGTAAACTGCTACCACCTATCCGGAGGAAGTTGAAACTTTACTATTGTTTTACATTTTGAATTTGCACGAAACAATTGAAGACAATTGGCATATTAGAGACTTGGAGGATTTTGAAAAATAACAATTTAAATTCCTCATTTGAATGAGATATTCTTGAATGAGGGAGAACCCAAGATTTCCATTATTTAATTTCAAACCTCAAATGACTGATGAGTCTGAAAAGAAAATGATATGTTAATTTAGTAACTTACGTGCTCCCGCCGTTCAAATAAATGTTAAAAGTGGATGCTAAGCACAAATACCCTTTCATACTTGGAGAATAAGCAGACACGTGATGAATTCTAGAATGGATTAAAACGTGAGATATGAAAATACAAATGTCAAACTGTATTTCAATACAGTCAAACAATGTCAAACATCTAGAATCAAAGGACATTGGTCATACTTACAGGATGGAGGACTGAATCCAAAAGCAGTGCTTCTGAATTTAGGAGTCATGTTGAGCATGACTTCCCAATGCAGTGCTGTTGCTAAGAGGAGTAATGTGATCCTTGGATGTATAAATGGAAATATTGAGCCATAAGGTACTACTTTTGTATGGAGCATCACTTGAAACCGTTATTAGAATGCATCCAGTTCTGGTGGCCACTCTCCAAAAAGGATATTGAAAAATTAGAAACAGTCCAAAAATTGGGATATTTTGAAGTCTGGAAAACCTGAAATCCAGCAGGAGACTTAATAAGTCTTTTATTTAATTTTAAGAAAGAGAAGGTTACAAGGTGAATTGAACCTGGTATTTAAGTACCTTTGGAAGCAGGGTAATTATTCTGGAATAAAGTCCCTTTTTCCAGAGCAGAGTGTCCACATGGGGGCATTACATCAGCATAGATCTATGAGAATGTTCCCCATATAGACACGTCCAAAGGTGTAACAAGCGCTAGCAGCTGGAAGTTAGTCAAAATCAACTGGAAATAACGTGCAAATTTTTGAGTGTGTGGGTAGTTAACTTTGGGAACAATTTAACAAGGGATGTGGTGGATTCTCCATCACTTGATAGGGTTCAGTCAAGATTGGAAGATGTCTTTCTAAAAGATATACCCTAATTTGAATCATGACAGGTTTCAGAGTAACAGCCGTGTTAGTCTGTATTTGCAGAAAAAAAAAAAGGAGTACTTGTGGCACCTTAGAGACTAACCAATTTATTTGAGCATAAGCCTTTCGTGAGCTACAGCTCATTTCATCCGAAAGCTTATGCTCAAATAAATTGGTTAGTCTCTAAGGTGCCACAAGTACTCCTTTTCTTTTTTCCTAATTTGAATACAAGTTTTGGGTTTGTTTCAGGAATTAATGAATGAAATGTTATGGCTGGTGTTATGTAGGACAGAATAAATTATCATAATGGTCCATTCTGGTGTCAACCCTTTGAGTCTATATGGGCATGGCAGATGTGCCAGCCTTTCTTCTGGGGTATTACCTTTCGTTTTGCAATGTGCAGGATGCTTGAATTATAGTAACATAGTAATTCTCACACTGGGTCAAACTCATGGTCCATCTAAACTAACATCTGTTCTCTGACAGAGGCCAGAACCAGATGCTTCAGAGGAAGGTGCAAGAAACGTTGCAGTAGGCAGATGTGGGATAATCTGCTCCCCATGAAAACTTTTGCTAATTGCCTAATAGTTAGAGAATAGCTTGGGCCCTGAAGCCTGATGTTTTTATAGGAAATTTTAAAAGTATATCTTCAGTATTTACTATTATTACTCTGAATACTCTTTATCGAATATAAATATCCAGTCTCTCAGAATCTTGCTAAATTCTTGGTCTCAATGCCATTCAGTAGCAGAGTTCCACTGTTGCATTATGCATTTTATGAAAAACTATTTAATTTTTATCAGTTCTGAATTTGCAATCATTTAATTCTTCTAAATGTCCCATTGTTAAATTACTTGCACGCTTTCACTTTTAGATAAATGTAATTGGAATAGAGATGATCTAAAAATCAGACAGCTGGTGGCAAAAAGGAGTGAAGGATTCAGAACAGTTTTATACCTCATTTTGCTGCATGGACTTCCATAGTTAAGTAAATATCAGCAAGTCATCACATTTGCTTTAAATGGCTAGGATAAAACACTTCAAAGTTAGCATAGTAAAGTTAGCCTTCCCGGTGTTTTATCCTAGCCGTTTTAAGCAAATGTGATGATTTGCTGTTATTTATTTGAATATGGAAATCTGTGCACAGTGAAGAGTCAGGTGGGTGAGTGGGAGCTGGGCTTAACCACACAGGCAGAGCACTGAATACAGAGGATAATAAGACAATGCACATTAGAGGAAATATTTTACTCTCTTATGCATATTTGGAATTTGACAGATCACTTCAAGGAAAAAATTTGAAACATTTAGGGAGCTAAACTAAATCATCAGTTGTTTTAAATTCTGTCTCTTCTAAAAGCTAATGAAGAACTCAACTATTAATTTCATTGGTTTGTACTGAAAGTGTTACTGATCAGTGTGGGAAACAAACATACCCATTTCACAAAGATTCTCTCTCTCACAGGTGCTGGCTTCCTCTGGGCCCTATGGGTGCTCAACCCCCCATCTCACCCCTTCCCCCAAACCCACACCCCTTTTTCCAAGTCCCCACCCCTCCCCCACCTTTTCCCACCCCACCTTTTCCTGCCCAGTTCCACCAGCCCTGGAGCACCCATAGAGTCAGCACCTATGCTCTCTAAAGAGAGAGAGTATGATAGGATGCAAAGTATATAGAGTGGGATTTTCCAATATGTCCAAGTGATTTAGGCACATTAATGCCAACATGTGCTCCCAAATCACTTAAGTGTTTTGAAAATCCAGACCATAATTTCAGGAATCAAGTAACCTTTACATAGAGATATCTATGCACAACACTGGCTACAATTTGACGTATTACACATGTGAGCAATTTCTTTTAACTCGGTGAGACTACACGCATGTGTAGGAATTTGCAAGATTGGGGTCTTGGAGGTCAGAGACTTATGTCTACATCGCAGTCAGAGGTATGACTGCAGCACATTTAGTCATAGATCAGAGCTAGCTCACGTATGTCTACATGTGCTGCAGTTACACCTCTGATTGTCGTGTAGACATATCCTAAATCTTTCCTCCCTCCTGCCCCAGCATATTCTCCTCATGTAATTAGAACTCTGTTCAGGAGGCACTGGTTTATATTTTTCATAGGCTTTATGGATGATGTACTCATCTCTTCTGAGTAAGAAAATAGGTTTATGCTACCAATATTTCTGATCCTTTTCTTTTTAGCTGTAATGGTTCCGATGTTGCAATAGCTGTACTTCCAACTTAAATAGTAGAGTTTTTTTTAGCAAACATTACATGCTTGAATGTCTTTAAAAAGTGGAGAGAATATTTTATATCAATAGATCCAAATCTCTTATACCACATTGTTTTGTTTGCCTCAACTTAAGACCTATCTAAAACAGGCCTGGAGAACAAAAACCTGAATTGTTGAAGTCACTGGGATCAGAAGGTCATGTGTTGACATGGAGTGAATGGTATTGCAAAAACTAGTAAAGAACTCATTACTTGTTCCGGCCTATAATATGAGAGTAAGGGACATGTTCTATGAAATTGAAAAGGATCCCCAGGAAATATTTTTTTCCTGTGTTCCTAGGGTGCAAAGTCACATTTCAAAGACAATTGAATAAGCTCTATACCAGGCCCATTCATTTGTGCAGTTCTGTTATGTACATTGGCCAGACCAGACAGTCTCTACGTAAAAGAATAAATGGATACAAATCAGACGTCAAGAATGATAACATTCAAAAACCAGTCGGAGAACACTTCAATCTCTCTGGTCACTTGATTACAGACCTAAAAGTCGCAATATTACAACAAAAAAACTTCAAAAACAGACTCCAAGGAGAGACTGATGAATTGGATTAATTTGCAAACTGGACACAATTAAATTAGGCTTGAATAAAGACTGGGAGTGGATGTGTCATTACACAAAGTAAAATTATTTCCCCATGTTTATTTTTCCCCCCTACTGTTCCTCACAAGGTCTTGTCAACTGCTGGAAATGGCCCACCTTGATTATCACTACAAAAGGTTTTTTTTTCTCTCCTGCTGGTAATAGCTCACCTTAACTGATCACTTTCATTACGATGTGTATGGTAACACCCATTGTTTCATGTTCTCTATGTATATAAAATCTCCCGACTGTATTTTCCATTGCATGCATCCGATGAAGTGAGCTGTAACTCACGAAAGCTTATGCTCAAATAAATTTGTTAGTCTCTAAGGTGCCACAAGTACTCCTTTTCTTTATGTCCTAAAGATCTGATATATCTTTACAGTTCTAGCTTGCAAAGCTGTAAGTATTTACTTGTGGTCATATAATTATCCAGTGATTATCTGTATGCCCTTCTGAAGCATTCCTGTTTCTTTTCATTTGTTGTAAACTTACTGTCTCTTAATTTAATTGAATGTATCCTTGTTTTGTACGTAAGATTGCATGAGTT